TGTTGGCAAGCACCTGGAGAAGCATTCTTTTAAAATTTCCTAGTGGGAGTGTTAATTGGTATAACCTTGTGGGGTGGGGATGGGTAATTCTGAAATATATATTGAAATCACAAGCGTACACAGCCTCTGACCCTGCAATTCTGCTTCCAGGAATTTAGCCAACAACTTGCAAACATTTCTGCAAAATAACAAAGGCAGGCTGTTAACTCATTGCAACACTGGCTGAAATAACAAGATTGCAAACAACCTAAATGTTCACTGAGAGGCTAAAAATGTACCTACTTTGATACAGCTGTGGATCAGGGTACAGAATAGTGCACACCGTGAGCGTGAAAGAGGTGGAAGAAAAAACTAGTAAACTATTAACAAGACTCACCTTTTGGTGAGGAAGAGGGAAAGAGGCACCTGTAGAAAGGGAAGAGAGGGGGACTTCACTGAAGAACCTTTTAAACTGTGTTACCCCTTCAAAAGCAAATCAACCATGTGTCATCCACTCAGAAAAAATCAGAGTTTCAAACTCATATGGAAAAGTTTAATCAAAAAAACAGTAAAAGTCCATTTTAAATTATATTCTTATCCCTCATTTTATAACTGGAAACATTAAGCAAAGAAAAGGTAAATAAGTTGCCCAGAAGAAACGAAGCTGCCCTTGGCTCCCAAGCTAGCATTCACCATACTCCACCCCAACCTCCTGGGAGACATTCTCTGAAGTTCCCAGTGCAGATTTGGAGGGAAACAGACAGGAAATATAAGGAAACAGCTCTCAATAGTTTAAACGCCCATCATGTCTAGGTTGATGTGATAAATTGGATGGTCCTGCCCGGGAGGATCTTGTCTGAAAAATCAGATCAGGTTCAGAGAAGCTGAGGCTGAGCCCTGCCTGACCCCCAAATTGAGGGGTTGTTGTGACTGAGTTTCCAGGCTCAACACTTCCAAATGCAGTATAACTGGACTCTCAGCACTTTTGAATGGAAGAACCAAGCACATCAGCACTCAATTTTCCAGGCCAGTGTGGCACACAGGCTCAGAAGACAGATAGACTCGGTGCAGGTGGATGGCTCTCTCATCACTAGCCTGCGGCTTTGGGGAACTTACTGAACTTTTCACAGTCTCAGCTTGTCTGGCCCTGGAGTTGGAATAATGTTGCACGGTTGTGAGAAAGATTCAGGATAATATACATAAAGAACCTGGAAGAGTGCATGTTCTTGTAGTAGGCGACTCAATAAATGGTAGTCATATGCCCATGTAAACAGCAGAAACATCACCAGTGGCCTAAAACCATGTGACACTATCTCTAAAGTTCGGTCAGACCTACCCTCACTAACCCACGGGCTCCAGAGTGAGTCTGTCTGCATCATAATTCCAGCTCTTTACTAACTGCTGGTATAACCCTAGTAAATCTCTTCTCTGTGCCTCAGTTTCTTATTCTGCTAAATAAAATAGTAATGCTGATTATTTCACACAAGAGGTACTTAAAACCAGGCCTCCTACATAGTAAGTGCTGTATTACATATTAGCTTTTATTATTATTGTTATTATTATTCAGTACCAAGTTCAAACCATTACTAAATGTCAGTTTGCTCCTGATTTTTGCAGCCCAGCACTGAGCTGGGGGTCAGAGTGAAAATCGATGCCTCCTTAAAGCTTTTGATATTCATGCCAAGTCCACGACACTTGTACCTATGAAGACAATGTTCTCCATTTTCCTGGTCCTATCCTTGCATTCATTTAATATCCTCTCAGAGCTTTAAAGATTTGCTCAATCGTAACTGAGACTTACCCAAACCAAACTAAATAAACAACCAGTTTGTCCCAGAAAAGCACCATTTAGGTTGTTTTTTTTTAAGCTTCAGGGATTCCTTTTTAAAATATTCCTTTCTTCTCAGAACTGGGTAAATATGTTTCTACCTCCCTTACGTTGACTCATTTGAAGAACACTGATTGATCGCTCACTGGGTGTCAGACCCCCCAAAGCAGACCCTGGAGAAAGGAACACACGTAACAACGGCCCCTGTCTTTGGGAGCTCTCAGTCCACTGAGAAGCTGAGCAGAGCCGGTGGAGATGAGAGTGCAATAGGAGGATTTTCCTGTGCATGAATGGAATAAATAAGCAACGAAATAGAAACCTGTTTAATCTAAAATGTATCCATGCACTGCTAGAACACACCAAACACTGCTACTGAATCTAAGAATCAAGAAACATAGAAATATGTTATACACAACACACACACACACACACACATACACACACACACACACACACTTCCCAAGTTTAGAATTAGAAGACATCAAAATTTTGGCATGCAGCTCTCCAGAAACAATATATTTTAGAAGACAAGACTTATCACTAAACTTCAGAATAATGACGATAATAACACCGTTTTGCATTTTCACTTTTTCTCTATTCAAAAAGCTTTCCTCTATCTTGCCTCTTTATAATCCCAGTACAATCTTGTGAGGAGGCTAGCACAGGCCTTCTCTCTGAATTTCATAGCTAAAAAGGAGACAAAATCACGAAGACTGAGGTTTGCCCCAGGTTACTCAGTTGGTAAACATTCAGGGCAAAGGCATCCAGTTCTCTCGCTCTCTCTGCAGACTTTCTGAGAGACATCGAGTGAGGTCAAAGTCCTCCGAAATTAGGTTGGCAGAAGTTACTGTAAGAGGTGACTGCTTTAGCAATGAGTAACCAAAAAAGACAAGAGGCTGAACCTAAAGGGGCAGAATTGGAAGCCAGCACATTTTGCAAAGGGTTTCCTTAAAGTAAATTAAGACAACAAAATACCCTTTGCCTATTATCAAAGTAGCACACTTTTCAAAAAAATTATAAAATCCGATGTCGATGAGAGTGCTGGAAAATGTTCATACAGTGCTGGTGGGCATGTAAATTAATAAAACTTTCCTAGGATTAATTTAGCAGCAGAGATCTAAAGTTTTTAAAATGCCCATGCCCTTTGACCCCACAATTCTACCTCTGGGGCTTTACCTCAAGGAAAACTCATGAAGAGTTGCAAAGGTTTAGCTGCAAGGGTGTTATTTTTAGCACTGTTAATAATAGAAAAACAACCAAATATCTGCCAACAGGATTTTATAAACTATCTATGCAATGAAATGGAAAAGCTTTTGTAAAACAAAATTCACTGTCATGACAAGATGCTCATAGTGCATTACTGAGACGTAAAAGGAGATAACCAAACCGCATGTAGAGTACAAGTACATTTCTTCAAAATGTAAATGTACTCAGAGAGAAATACACCTACCAAAATGTTTACAGTGTTTATCTCACAGTGGTGTGTTTTTACTTTTCATTCATTGTAAAAATTATCTCTATGTATTTCTTAAAATTTTATTCTTGACAATGTTCCTGTGCTGTTTGTGTAAATGTCTCAAGAACGTATTTTAGAAGTATACCCTCACCGTTCTTTGACCATGCCTGTCAGGTTTTCCTCCTAAGTAAACTAACAGGCTTGTGCCCAATGGAGTTTGTCAGTTCAATGATTAACAACAGCATGTTGTGTTAGGAAAGGCCATAAGAATCTTTCTAAACTCATCACCACCATTAGGCAAATCAAATTCCTCTCAAGAAGTTTTCCTGGCTTTTTCTGGACAGACTTGTCTTCTTCCTTTTGCTAACAGATCAATACATTTACAGTAAACACCAATCTTCTGCATCTAATGCGCACACACACACACACACACACACACACACACACACACGGTTCTCTAGCTGTCTCGTGGGTGAATGCCATGATTCACCAAACCAGTTGGTCCTTAGCTGTATTTTTTGAAGCATCCTTCTTCACTGTCCACTCCTCACACCTTCACCAACACAGTGAGAAATTCACATTTTGCATAAGCAGTAAGGAGTTATAAATTGAATTGAATGAAAAGCTTCATTTGGTTCTCCTTTTCTGTTTTGTTATTTTCTTTCCTTAATGTTTCAGGTTCAGCCCCATTTTCTTATTCTTATGCACAACAACACTATTGATAGGAAAAATGGAGATCAAGGATATCCAACAAAAAGGTCAAGGCAATGTTTATGATTCCCTCTGAGAGTGCATGGTCTTCTCTACAGCTATTGGTGCAACTGGCAAAGCTTCTGAGGGGGGAAAACATGATCAAGCTTTTAAGATTAACTTTGAAGTCCTTTTTGAAGAAAGTATGTACAAGTTTTGCCAACACATTGCATTATCCCTTTAAATGAAACCAATAAAACCTGTTATTAATAACATAGCACCTTCAGGCCAGGCGCAATGGCTCATGCCTGTAATCCCAGAACTTTGGGAGGCCAAGGTGGGTGGATCACAAGATCAGGAAACTGAGACCATCCTGGCTAACACAGTGAAACCCCGTCTCCACTAAAAATACAAAAAATTAGCCGGGCATGGTGGCACGCGTCGGCAGTCCCCGCTACTTGGGAGGCTGAGGTAGGAGGAGAATGACTTGAGCCCAGGAGGCAGAGGTTGCAATAAGCCAAGATCACACCATTGCACTCCCACCTGGACGACAGAGTGAGACTCCGTCTCAAAAAAAACACAGAAACAAAACATAACACTTTCAGTCAAACATTGGGTGAGATTACACCTCTCTAATGTTGCAGAAGCTTAATGGGAAGTGATAAAATAAGTTTCAATTTTAACAGTAACAACAGTCTTATAAAACAACTTCATTTAAAACGCCCTTCACTTAACATCTCTCACCACATACCAAAAGTCATGTAACTATTTATGGTTTATAAATAATATACACTTATAAAGTATATTTCCCATATATTTCATAATCATCCATAGATAATCACAGTTGATCTCTTAATAGGGCTCATAAACGCATCTTAAAGTTAAACATCCCTACAGAGCCATATAACTTCAAGAAATCCTTAAAATCTTGTTTCAACAAACAACATAACATTATCTTTTATCAGATTCAGTTTGTCTTTCCTAAATACCTCATTAACGTGTAAGTAAACCCAAAAAAGGAGGGAAAAAAATAAAGAAAGAAAATACCTACAGTGCAATTAATCATCTTACCGTCTGCGTTCTTCATCCCTGGGGCATTTGGGAACGGCTGGCCCCCTAGGAGGTGGCGACTGTCAGGGTAATCCAGCAAGGTTTCTTTTCCCAAATGAAGCAGGCTGAGCTGATGCTGGTTATTAAAAATGAAAGTACGTTTTGAAGTCAGCTCTCTCTAGAGTTTTAATTCAGGTCTGTGCCACAGCAGAGTGACAGCTCACATCTTGCCGGGTGCCCCAGCTGCTACAGAGGCTCAAAGGAAGGAGAAAGTGGGTCTTGGAGACGGCTGTGTCAGAGCCTCTTAGGGCTTTAATCCCTCGGCCGTGACTATCTGGGGAACTATGAACAGGAAGCTCAGCCCGGCAGACAGCCAGAATCATTCAGCAAACGTGCCAGACCCTTAAGAAACACCAGCACCCGCCACTGCACGGTAACCTCTAATGTTTCCCGAAGCTGATGCTTTCCTCTCATGACTTTGTGTTGAACCTGGACAAGGCCTGCTGGCTGAGTCCAGCTCATTATCACATTCCCATCATCAGAGTCTTGACCAGTCAGTCCCAGGCCTGTGGCAGCATAAGCTTTCCCTCTCTGCCTACCTCCCAATCCTTAGAGCAGTCTCTCTAGAGGCAGCCCAGGCAATGCTGTGGAACTCTTTATTCAGGTCTGCTTGTGTCCCAGACCCCGTGCCCACTTCTCATGGTGCCACCACCCCTGCCATGTGCCCTAAGAATTCTGGAAGCCTCCCTTCACCACACCCTGGAAGTGGGGTGACCACTGATCACCCCTCACTCAGGAAGAGGAAAGCCAGAGACTCCAGCTTCCACAAACGCAGCCAGATCCACGTAGGAGAGCTGGTGCTGCAAAGCCTCCTCTTTTTTTTTTTTTTTTTTTCTTGCTCTGTCACCAAGGCTGGAGTGCAATGTCATGATCTTAGCTCACTGCAATCTCTGCCTCCCAGTTTCAAGTGATTATCCTGCCTCGGCCTCCCAAGTAGCTGGGATTACAGGCGCCCACCACCATGCCCAGCTAATTTTTGTATTTTTGGTAGACACAAGATTTCACCATGTTGACCAGGCTGGTCTTGAACTCCTGGCCTCAGGTGATCCACCTGCCTCGGCCTCCCAAAGTGCTGGGGTTATAGGCATGAGTCACCGCACCTGGCCCACCTCATTTATTTCTCTCATAACCCCTCCTGGCCCTGCACTCAGATGAACATTCTTAATATGAAACAGTCCAGCCTATCACGATGCTACTCAAAACTCTGCAGTGTAGGGAGGAAGAGTCAAGCTTCCAATTCTAGCATTCAAGACCCTGGGACATCTGGTCTCACACACTGTCCTATCATCGGTCTTATTACCGTTTCCAAAAACCCTTTGTGCTCACCTGGATGGGCCACCTGCTGACCCTAAGAGGCACTGCTCCAACCTCTGCTTCAGTGCTCTGCAGCCTCAGTTCTGCCACTGCCGCTCCTTATCCTGGTCAATGTGACCCTGCCCAGCATGACACAGCCCACCTCCTCTTTGCCCCTTCCCCTTCTTTCCAGTGTTCGTCAACATTCACTCAAGCAGACCCCTGCTCAAGCATCGTGGGGTGACTTTCCCAACTCTGATCCTGTGCCTTCTCTCTGTGATGATAACAGAGATAGCAAGAGTGAGCACTTAATAGGTGCCAGGGCATATCTGAGAAAATTTAAATTATTTATTCATTTACTAATTTATTTTTAATTTTATTTTAGGTTCGGGGGTGCTTATGCAGGTTTGTTATATAGGTAAATTGTGTATTGAGGGGGCTTGGTGTACAGCTTGTTTTGTAACCCAGGTAATAAGTATGCTACCTTGTAGGTAGTTTCAGTCCTCACTCTCCTCCCACACTCCACCCTCAGGTAGGTCCTGTGTCTGTGGTTCCCTTCTTTGTGTCCATATAAACTCAGTGTTTAACTCTCACTTATAAGTGAGACCATGCAGTATTTGATTTTCTGTTTCTGCGTTAGTTCTCAGAATAATGGCCTCCAGCTGTATCCATGTTGCTGCAAAAGACATCATTTTGTTCTTTTTTATGGCTGCGTAGTATTCCATGGTGTACATGTACCACATTTTCTTTTTCCAGTCTACCCTGATGGACATTTAGGTTGATTCCACGTCTTTGCTATTGAAATAGTGATGCAATGAACATCATGTCCTTGTGGTAGAATGATTTATATTCCTGTGGGAATATACCCAATAATGGGATTGCTGAGTCGAACGGTAGTTGTATTTTTTAAGTTCTTTGAGAAATCACCAAACTGCCTTTCAGAGTGGGTAAACTAATTTATATTCCCACAGGCAGTATGTAAGCATTCCCTTTTCTTTGCGACTTGGTAGCGTGTCTTATTTTTTGACTTTTTAGTAATAGCCATTTTGACTGGTGTGAGATGATCTCATTATGGTTTTGATTTGCATGGAAATTTAAATTCTTTAGGCCCATTTTACAGGTGAGGAAACTGATTGAGATGATGTAAGTACTTTCCCCAAGCTCCCTTAGTCAGGCAGGGGTGGAGCCCGGGCTTGCGTTGCTCTTCATGTGTTACCAGGGATCCACTGCAATTTACTTGACAATATGGCTTATCTGTGCAGGAACAGTGCAAGTTCCTAGCAGCCATTGTCTCATACTTCCTGGCACCCTTTCCAGAGGGCACCTAAAAGAACTTCCCAAGCCAGGCTATTACCAAGCAGCTGGATTAACTGGCAGATTATTAGTTCAAGGATTTTTCTGGCCCTCTTTTTCACTCCAGACAATTTCTTGTCTCTTCCTCCTTCCCACTTCTCAAAAAGGAGAAAAATTTGAGGAATCTGCACTGTTTAGTTAACACGTGTGAACACACACACACACGCCACATGCACGCACATACCCACTCACCTTTGCCTGGGTTTTATCAGCTGTGTTGTTCCCCTACAGAGTTCAGGGAAAACAAATAGTCATAGTTGGCAACAAAAATTCAATACCAGAAGTTAATGGATAATCTCCCAAACTCTAGGGTCCTTTATGAATGCTACAGCATAGAATTCCCTGAGCCAAGCCCAGAGCTTTTAACTTTAAACTATCAGAAGACGTCATTCCAATATAATTTTATCAGTAACATGGTCTTTGTAGAATGCCAGAATGTCTGTTTATACAGAAAAGTTCAGAAACAAGTCATGTATTTTCCCAGAATATTCTTATGGAAAAGTTTACATATTCAGAATTGGTTTGCATCTATGAATATCTTTAATGTGGCTATAATCCATGTGTTTCTTATACCTCCCAACTGAGAAAGGAGAATAGGAAGAAGCATGTACAGTATGTTTGTGCACGTGTGTGCACAAGCATGTTTGTATGTGTGTGCAAGTATATGCATCCCTAGAATCTAACCTGGACTCCCCCTCACATGCTATGGGTCATTAAAACCCTAGGTCCAGCAACTCTGTAATTAGAGGGACACCGAACTGGATGCCAGCAGACCTGCGTTAAACTTCATCTATGTGTCTA